CTGGTAGCAAGCTTGTTAACAAGTAGAGTCAATTCTGTTCCATCAACTTGTTAAACATACTTTTCGCAACAGGTTTGTAGCGGGCTTGTTAACAAGTTGAGAGAATTCCGTTCCATCAACTTGTGAAACAGACTTTTCGCAACAGTCTTGTAGCAAGCTTGTTAACAAGTTGAGACAATTCTGTTCCATTAACTTGTGAAACAGACTTTTCGCAGCAGGCTTGTAGCAAGCTTGTTAGCAAGTTGAGACAATTCCATTCCATCAACTTGTCAACAAGACTTTTCGCAACAGGCTTGTAGCAAGCTTGTTATCAAGTTAAGACAATTCCTGAGACTGAGGATGCTTTCAGCTTTTTGAGCAAGATGTGTTCGCAACAGAGTTGTAGCGAGCTTGTCAACAAATTGTAACAATGCTGTTATAAGGTTGTCACTCATAACTTGTTGACAATTTGTTGAATTGCTGGACGATAACAAGTTGTTGGAACAACGTGCAAGAAGTCTGTTGAGTTCAACAACATTGTAGCAAGTTGTGAACAAGCCGTTAACAACTTGTCAACAAGCTGGGAACAGGCAGTGCGAATACATGGCAAAAACGCGAAAGTTGTTACAAATCTGTTCACAAGCTGTCGACAAGTTGTGTTCGCACTGCTTGTTCCCAGTTGTTGTAACACGTTTGGAACAAGCTGTTGGCAACTTGTAACACACTTGATGGCATTAATAGACTTGTTGCAAGGTTGTTCTAACGAGTCTGATACGTCATACTATTACAAGAATGTTACAAGGTTGACGATACAAGGTTGTAACAATACTGTTATATCATGACTGTGTCGGACTTGTTGGAACAACCTTGATACAGCCTGATAATATCAACAAGGTTGTTACAAATTGTTAACAGCTTGTTCCAAACTTGTTGACAACTTGGGACAAGCAGTGCGAACACAACTCGTTGACGGCTTGTTGGCAGACTTGCTACAAGATGTGAGATTTTTGCGTGTGTTGTTATGGCGCTTGCGTGGGGTAGTTAACATAAATTAACCGAAATTAACATAAATTAACATTAAATTAACATAAATTAACATAAATTAAGAGTTGATGAACGACCGCTGACAAGCAATTTGAACTCGATCGTGGTCTCGTTTAGTGGTTTACTTCAAAATGGCGAACAATTTCGTCAATTTCGATTCAAATAATTGCAGAGGAAGGCTCCTGATCTGTTATATAAGCAATCGTTATGCATTTTTGCGTACAAAATACAAACATTATTACTGAGGAAAGTATTTAATTTGTTGGTTTGTGAATTTCGACCTTAAAACTAGCCAAGCAAGTGATTTTGTCTAGATCACTGGACATGTGGTATTTACTTTCGTCTGACAGTTTCAAGAATGCTATGGAGTCAAGTGGACATTATTTAAACTTGAAAATGTTTATTTTGGTAACAGATGTCAGTGAAGAAAAGCCAATACATCTGCTGGACCCGGGAATGAAAAACTAGGTAAATTACAGAATTGTACTCATAGGAAAAATTTATATTTTCCATTGATGTTTTTTTCAGGGATGGATTTACTGGGGAGAGGGGGGTGGGGGGAGGGTGTGCACCCCCTAGCTCTGGCCAGACGGGGTTCAGGGGGGGTGGTGCTATTTTTCATGATAGAGCAAAAAATTATTAGAGACAAAATGAGATACAGTAATTTGAGTAATACTGTAACATGATGATAAGCAAACTGTGAACAACAATTACAATTCAAGTATAGTAGTCAAGCAAGACTTTGCAGTAGTGAAGCAAGTTGATGGGCGGGCGGCACACATGACCGACACAACTCAGCACCAGAGCTGGCAGAGCACCCCCCTACCAGATCATGCTGGATCCATCCCTGGTTTTTTTTTGAAGATTTACCATGGTTTTTGAAGATTTACCATGTATACTACCAATGTGAACAGTGAACTCTTTATACCATTATTGGTTTTTAAATGGTAAATTGGTAAATGCCACGATGTATTGGTATTTTCCTGTGCACAGGAAAAAACCAAAGTACCATTAGGTACCGTTTATTATTTATG